CTTGACTTCTCGTTTAGTCTAGTATGTTGAGGTCAAACTTGTTATTTAGGGCTGAAATTTTAAACCACTTAACTATTTTGATTTAGTATTTGCCATAACATTTCATTTCTCTATTGCTCATTATCCATTGCTTGAAGACAAGCAATAGCTTAAGTTTTGGGGTATGATAACTCCGTAAAAAGACTATTTTTAGATCTTTTTACTTAAGTTATTGATTGTCTAAAAGCCATTGACATAGCATTTTAGTTGCATTTAGTTGAATTTAGGACATATTAGCATGTGGTGTATAAGTTTTGCTGAGGCAAAGTTTATTTTAACAAACTGATGCTGCTGAGGAGAAGGGTTGTTTGTTGGTTGTGATGATGCAAGAAATGACTGAGGAAGAATTTATTTGTTGAGAAAAGTTAATTTTCTATAGCCAGTGGAACAGAAGATGACGACATAGAGGAACAAATATTTTTTGCCACGGTGAGTTTTACTCGCCAATCTGACACAGTACGAGACAAAATTATTGACGTCACATGGCCAGCTATCCAATGCACCTCATATGAACCTCTTCCCTTGCTAAGGATTTGGGAACACTACCAACTGCCATATTATTCACACGATGGGTATGAAAGCAAGGGTATTTAGGAAATTTCCAAGGGCACTAAACCGTAGAAATTCCCACTATAAATATCTCATTATACCTCTCTATGAAGAGATAGAAAAATACCCTAAAGAAAGGCTTGGAGAAATACGGTTGCAATACCTCTTTTCCACCATTCCCCTCTAGTCCGTCGTTGGCTTCCTTAATAGCCAAGCTTCACTGGAGCAATAGTCAGGCCCTCAAGAGAGGCTAGTGTGCTAGAGCAATCATGATGGTGGTCTGATGTCACGGTAGAGCTCTGCTCTGGGAGTTTTTCTTCCATTGTTCTTCATTTTTATTTTTCTAAGGGCTTGTATTTAATGAATATTTTTGGGATGATGTTAACCACGCCATAAATTATTTTATTTGGTGTTGGCAATGCTTAGATGATATTTCATTTTACTGTTAATGAATGAATAAGTATGTTTTTGATAAGTGTTGTTTTGTTCATTGTTTTAATCTTTTGCTTTGGCACTATAAGGGCTTTTAAAAGATTATCTTGTGCCTCGACAAAACATTCCTAGTCTTTGTAAGAGCTTTTGAAAGATTGTAATTTTTCTAGGAGTTGATACCTAATATCGAGAGAGTTAGGTTAGATCTATGTGAACAAGGGAACTAATCCGGGATTGTGAAGTTCTAATTTGTCTTACAGATAAGGAGAGGATTTCAGTCGACTAAGAGGGATAAATGCTTGAGTATATAGGCTAGCGCTACAGTTTATACTGAGTAGTATTTCCTCAACAACAGTTTGACTAACCAAGGGTTGTAGTTTATGCTGAGTAGTATTGTCATAGCAATAGTTTTTCAGGTTTCGTGCTAGAGATACTCTAGGAACACTTTAGTAAATCCTGTCGGGCAATATAGGCATAACATATTATATCATCATAGCCATAGAATAATTTTTCGCCGTAGCAAATCCAACCCAAGTGCTCCGTTAGAAGTCTGATTGTGTGAGGTTGCCAGTCTATTTTTAGAGTTTTGACAATTTTAGACTTAGCAACTTTTGTTTGTTTACTATTTCATATTTTTCTTGCCACTACAAAAAAAATTTGCTCACTTCACTTTACAATTTTTCTTGCCTCGACAAACTTTTTCCATCTATTCATACCATTTGTCACTGCATATTTTCCTTGTTTATATCATTAGACTTAGATACTTAAGATTAGTTAGTGACACTTATTCCTAACTATAACAATCTTTTAAAAACCCTCAAATCCTTGTGGAGATGATACTCACTCACTACTATATTACTTGCTTCGATTGTGTATACTTGCACAGATTTGCATGCCATAACACACACATTTACATGCAATCAAGTTTTTGCAACCGACAGAAGCTTTCCACAGCCAAGAAACGCCATTCAGTCGCGACCCAGGTAATTTGAGTCTTCCCCGATGAGCGTTCGACCATACCATAGCCATACATGGCCGATGCGAGGCGCCACGGCAATGAGAGTGAGACAAGGCTCGCGTGTTTTACAAACCAGTGTTGTTCAACAACAATGGCGAACGATGAGGAGATACCGATGTACATGAACGGCAATCGACGACCTTACCTACGTGACCGGACGATAAATCAACGGTGAGGGCAAGCAGCGGATGTTTTGTTTTTAGAAAATAAAAGGGGCGAAGTGCAGAGAATATATAATTCGGGAAAGAAGAGTTTAGTTTAAATGGAAAAAGTGGGTTAATTACTAATAAAGCCATTAAACATTCTAGGTTTTGAAAACGACTTCAAACTTTCTAAAGTTACAATTTGGTCATTGATTTTAATTTAGGAATTTAGGTAAAAATTCTCAAATTCTAGTGTTTTAAATTGGGGGATTTATTGGGGTGTTACAATATTGTTATATCTAATTATTGTTTTTTTTTATAGATGAACTGGGTAAAAAGTTATATAGATATTTTTTAAAAAAAATTATTTTTTATGAGCAATTATATTTGATGGGTTGATTAAGCTATTTATGTTTATTCCTTCATATTCCCTTAAGTCATGAGTTCTATAAGAGCTCTCAAGTTCCTTCCACTAGAATCCCTTTTCCCTTTTTATCCATATAAAAAATAAGATTAGATTTAGAATTTATAAAAAAGATTATATTTTGGGGAAATCAGCTTACACATCAAACAATGCAACACATTTTTTAATCTTAAGAATTATGTAGTGTAATTAGAGACTTCCAACGACATTAAATTTAGCAAAAATTATAAATTATAATAATTATTTAAATAGTCTACAATTATGTAATTATATCCAAAATTACCCCTAATGTTCCTAACTTGCAGTCATGGAATAATATATTTTTTTAAAAAAAGTTAAAATTATTATGTGGTTAAAGCACTAATGATACACCCCTCTCAACATATTAGTATGTACAAAGAAATGAGAAACAAGAAATATGGACGTGGGTGTGCATGTGCCACAATTAGAAGATGTACATTAAAGGATTGGGAAGTTATTTTCAACCACACTAAAGTCAATGTGAGGTTCTAAGTTGCTATCAACCAATGTTAATCCTTTCTTCTTCTATTATAAGTCCTTAATTTTTTATTTTTGAAAATAGTCAACTAAGTTCCTAAATCTTTTTATTCAGTTGATTTTTGGTATTCCAAAATTGAATCAATCATCTTTTAACTAATATTGATTATTAAATTTCATAATTTTTTAATCAATCGATGATTTGTAATGTTTTCATATGACATGGTCATAGGTTTGTTAATTTTAAGGGTAAAGTACACAGATAGATCCCAACTACGAGGTGTTACTTTATTGAGCTCCTCGATTATTAAAAGTTATAAAATGATCACCGACTATTAATATGTTTCAAACTTGTCATTTTTCATTAAAAATTGGTGATCATCTAAACTAATGTTAACATGATAATTCAGATATGATAAAATCTAACCCCATAACTGCTTGAGTTGTATTTTATAAATCAACTCTCCGTTTATATTATGTTATCTAGTCAATACTTGAAATATGATTTTATTATATCTCAATCAAAAGATCAACGTCTAACTTTGATGAATATCGAATTTTTAATGTAAAAGGCTGAATTTGAAACATACGACTACTAAGGCGATCGTGTTGTAACTTTTAATAGTCGAGTGACTCAACAAAATAACGCCTTATAGTCAGGAGGACTGTTTTATAACTTTTAATAGTCGAAGAACTCAACAAAACAACGTATTATAGTCAGAATTAATTGTATACTTTATCCTAATTTTAAACAATTTTATTTTAAAAAACTATGTAATATATTACATGACAAAATCACAATATCCCACAAGTTAGACTATTCTATATTACATGATAATAATATATAAAAAAAACATTAAGATTTGATAATCAAAATTGATCAGTTGATTTAATTTCTTGATTTCAAGGTTTAATGGAATGAATTTCTCAGTTTGAGAGTTTATAAAGGGACTAAATTGAATCAATCCCTACAATAGAGAGACCTGACAGATACTTTCACCCTTGTTCCACCCACCATGAAGAAACAGAGTTAAAAAATTAAAAAAAAAAAAATTGAGACGACAGATATGACAAGTTCAAAACTGAACGTGTCAACATTTGCACCCCCTCCAATCATCATCAACCACCCCAAAAAATAAAATCAAAGTGTTGGTATAACATTTGCCAGCAAATTCCTTATCTGAACGAATCTCAGCAGTAGCTTAACACTTTCAGGAATCTCTAACAGAACTGAAAAGAAAATAAAAAGGTAACCTTTAGTCGTCTCTTGTCCACTTTCCATCTCTTTTAGTTAATGATTTTCCCACATTTTGCCTCTCTAATCTTGCATTTAATAATCAGCTGTCTTCCTTGTTGTTACATTCAAGCAAGCTTGGGTTTTCTTTTTATCTGACGATCGAAACTTTGTTTTGTAAATCTTATGTTCTGTGCAAATAGTTTGACTTTGTGGTTGCTATAACATGTTCTGGGTAACTGAAGAAGAAAGTCTACGTTTTGGCTTGTTCTAGGATCTGGGTTTAGCTTAAATTTCAAGCTTATCACTATATTTATGGTGGTAAACTGAGACTATTTGTGAATTTTAAAGATAATTAAGAAGCTAAAGTTTCCATTGTTTTTGGTTCTTAAAATTTTCATATACCCAATTTCTATCTGTTTCTTTTGTTTTCTTTTTCAGGTTTGACATGTTAAGAACCCAGAAACTGTTGTTTGGCATGAAGGGTTATCAGATATGTGTATGCATTATTCATAAGAAAATATTGGCAGTGATTTTATATTAAAAGCATGTTTGTTTCAGTAACTGGGGTTGCGGTTGATGAAATGGGGTACGCCGTGAGTAGGCTGGATGTAGAATCCGAGTTGTTCGATGGTGGTAATGATGAGATTGCACAGCTTACAAATATAAGATCAGGGCCACTTGATCAACTTCGTCGACTCATGCCTGGAAAGCAGCAATAACCCGTTTCACCAGTGAGGATGTTGGCAGGTCGAGAAGGGAACTATTCGGGAAGAGGAAGATTCTCATCCGCAGATTGTTGTCACATGCTTAGCAGTTATTTTCCTGTAAATGGTCCTTGGCTTGTGGACCAAACGACCAGCCGAGCCTATGTTTCTCAATTTTCAGCTGATGGTTCTCTGTTTGTTGCTGGATTTCAGGTATTTCTTCATTTCCTTATATCCGAGCGAGAGTGGCTTGATTGGATTGTAGGTAGTAATAGATTTGATTTGGTTGCGAATGTTTGGTTTGAGGGAAGCAATATTAGAATAAACGACGTAGATAGAGGCTGGAAAGTTCAGAAGAACATTCTTGCTAGGAGTTTGCGTTGGACGGTTACTGACACATCCCTTTCTCCAGATCAGCGCCATCTTGTGAGTTCAATTTTAATTGGCGGGAAAAAATGTGAATAAATAAATAGTTTTTAAGGAAATATTTGAAGTCGACATCGGCCTATTGGGTTATATATGTCAAATACCTAAATATCATCTTTTAAAATAGTTTTTAAGAAAATACTATTTTAAAAGAGTAAATGGGCTGCATTTAACCAAAAATTCGTTCTTTTTAATAATAAAAAAAGATTCGTTATCGGTTACGTTTGAGAAAAGATTAGCACCCTACAACGCCCAAAATTGGTCCCTGACTATTATAAATTGTCTCTAATAATAGAATTTAAGAATTCAAATATAAATTTAATTTATGATCCTCTTGTTCTAGATTCAATCAAATAATTAAAATAATTTTTATAAAACTAAAGTAAAAATATATATTTTTATGGTTTTATAAATAGGGTATTTATTTATTTAAAAATATTAGAAAAATGACATCTAGTTGCTTTAAGATAGCCCCTTTCTTTAATATTAAAAAATAAATAAAATTAAAAATATGATAATTTTTCTTAAAAAATAATTTAAATAAAACTAAATTAAATATATATAATTTTTATAATAAAAATATTTATTTATTTAAAATATCATAATAGAACATCTAGTTATTTTAAGATCACCCTTTCTTAATATTTAAAAATAAATAAATATTATTAATTTATAAAATTAATCAAATAATATATATTAATATGACTAAAATAAAGTAATAATTAAATAATAATGAAAATTTAAAGGATAATAATAAAAATTATATTAGAATGCAACTAAACAATGACTAAAATAAATAAAATTAAAACAACATGATTAAAATGTAAAATATCTAAATTAATGGACATAATTCGAATCATTATAAAATATAAGTATTAACAGTGTAATTTAGCCAAAAATAGTAATACGGATTAAAATAAAATTAATTAAAATTATAAGGGACTAAATATGGTATTTACCCTAAATATATAAATATACTAATAATGACTAAATTATAAATTAAATAAAATTAGAAGACTGAATTGAAATGATCATAAATTGATTTTAGTGACCAACTCGTAAAGTTACATACTTGAAAGGACTGCAGAAAGGGTTTTTTCTCTTTGGAAATTACACATGCACCCTTCCCCAAAACGGCGTCTTTTGGGGAGGGATTTAAATACCCTTTAATCGATCCTCTTGGGCCAAATTTTCATTTTTTTTTGTTTTAGCATCTCTCTCTATGAGGGAGAAGCTCTACCTTCTCTCCATTTCCCACGCCAGAGGGAAACCGGTCCCGGCCAGCCTCCGTTATTCCGTCGCAAACCATCACCGTCGGCCACCACTCATGGTGGCCAGAACTTAGAAAAATATACCGAAGTAAACCCCTTTTTCCCCTGAACCTAGATCCACTTTCGTTTTATCCTAAAAACTCCTAAATCACAGTAGATCTAAACAAAACCGAAGGGTTTTACCTCGATTTTCATAAAGTTTTCTGGTGGTTCCACGGCGTTCGGCTCTTCGATGTAAGTTTTTTCACTCTCTTCTATTTTCTTTCGGTTTTTAAATGTGGGTCGTTGGTGGTTGCTTCTCGTTTCTCTTTATTTCTTCGTTTCTGTTCGAACGTTGTTGTTGGTGTGTCTGCCCTTCTTCGTGTCTTGATGTGTTGGTTGTTGTTCGTGGTCTTTTTTTTCTTTGCAGGATTCAGTGGCTTTTATAGCCACCACCGAGGCTCTTATCAGACCGAGTAATAAGGGGAGCATTCGATGAGTCACCGAACTAGGGTGGTGACTCACCCTAGAGCAGCGACGTGGGTGGCTATCTGGTGCTTCTGAAGTCTTCGACGAGGTGACAACAGCTGGCTAAGGCACCTGGCAGTGAAAGCGTCGGCAATGGCGGTGGCAGTGGAAGCGGCGGCCGTGTGGCCCCTAGGGTTTATTCTGGACCGTTGGATCTGGTAGTTTGTTCTGAACCGTTGGATCTTGCCAGATCCAATGGTTGATGATGTTGGGTGGCTAGCTGAGATAATATAAACCCTAATTGGGTTTAGGGTTAGTCTTAGGCCGATTCTGGTTGGGCCTGGATTTGGTATGGGCATGTAAACGGGCCTCCGAGTCCATTGTAATTTGTAATATGTACTTTATTTAATAATAATAATAATAATAATAATTTAAAAATAGAAAAATTAGTGTCTACAGCTGCCCCTCTTTGCTCATTCTTGTGTTAACAATAATAGAGCAAATACGAAAAATACAATAATTTTTTCATTTGACTCCTATTGATTAGGATGAAAATGTTGAAAACATTCTGCCCAGAGGTCTTAAGAATGGCCCGGAGGTCTTATCATCTTGCTCGGAAGACTTACAAATGACCCGAAGGCTTTGAAAACATCATGCACTAAAGGTCTTATAGATGACCCGAAGGCTTTGAAAACATCATGCACTGAAGGTCTTACAGATGACCTGAAGGTTTTGGATACATCATGCACTGAAGGTCTTATAGATGACCCAAAGGTTTTGAAAACATCATGCACTGAAGGTCTAACAGATGACCCGAAGGTTTTGGAAACATCATGCACTGAAGGTCTTATAGATGACCCAAAGGTTTTGAAAACATCATGCACTGAAGGTCTTATAGATGACCCAAAGGTTTTGAAAACATCATGCACTGAAGGTCTTACAGATGACCCAAAGGTTTTGGAAACATCATGCACTGAAGGTCTTACAGATGACCCAAAGGTTTTGAAAACTTCATGCACTGAAGATCTTACAGATGACCTGAAGGTTTTGAAAACATCATGCACTGAAGGTCTTACACATGACTCGAAGGTTTTGAAAACATCATGCACTGAAGGTCTTATAGATGACCCGAAGGTTTTGAACATCATGCACTGAAGGTCTTACAGTTGACCCGAAGGTTTTGAAAACATCATGCACTGAAGGTCTTACAGATGACCCGAAGGTTTTGAAAACATCATGCACTGAAGCTCTTACAGATGACCCGAAGGTTTTGAAAACATCATGCACTGAAGGTCTTACAGATGACCCGAAGGTTTTGAAAACATCATGCACTGAAGGTCTTACAGATGTGGGAAATAGTTTACTAAGTAAGAAACTTTGGAAATCATTTTCTTACTATTCAACAATTTCATTTTCATAAAAGATTAAATGAGACTTTGGAAATCGTTTTCTCATTTTTTGAAATAACTTGGTTGATTGGGTAACATGTCCCACTTCAAAATAATACTTCTTCTGTGGATGGAGACCATTTATTCTTCAGATATTTGCCTCTCTTGAAGTGAATTATGTATTTGAGGTTTGAATTCTATCTTACAATTGTAAGGCATTTTTCATCATGAATCTTCTTTTTTTCATTTGAAAACCTGTAAAATTTCATATTTGAATGCAATCAAATGTATCAATGTAATTCATTTTCTAATATACAAATGATGTTCTTATGAATGCATGAATGTTGATGCAATATTCATTTGATTTCAAAGTGGCGAACTCGGTCTTCCTTCACTTGATCATTTATTTCCAGGGTTACCTTTGGATATCAGTGGAACAACTTATGCTATATTTCTGAAGAACCATTTGATCAACTTGTATCTTTGTGTCTTATTTGCTTCATTTAAGTCTCAGAAGAAATGTTTCATTTATGTATCTTTTGTCGTAATCAGAATTATGACCTTAATGTCCCATTTTTGTTTTTAATAAAACCGGCTTTCTTCGTCTAAACTTGCATAGAAATCCAATAAAGTTTTTATCTTTGAAAAGAGAATCTATCATCTTTGAAGAGAATCTATCATCTTTGAAGAATGTAGATGTAGATATGCCCAACTTAGTAGGGATTAATTAGGAGAGTATTGTCTATTCTGATTTGACTCTTGAAACACATCACAAGGAGGATTTATCCTAATTCCTTTCATGTCTCCACATCTAATTGGATCTCGAACAAATCCATTCAGACCATATCATGTCGAGATGCTTAACAACAACCTTAGTTGGCTCCACTAGTTTCTTGTTGTTAAAATTTCTGCTTCCCTTCTGTGGAAAGAAATCTTCATCATATCTCACTTCTAACCTCGGGGTCAAAGAAGACAAACTTTATCTTGATCTACAAATGGAAACCATATGATCACAATATTGGTTCAGCACCATAATCATTGGTTCATAAAACATTGGACAACTCATTCATCCTGCTGAATCTTCTGCACAGATGTTTTGTAAAACATTTGATAATACATTCATCCTTTCATGTGACTTCTGCCCAGATGTTCGTAAAACATTTGACAACACATTAATATTTTCTTGTGGCTTCTTCCCTAATTCAATGAAGCTCTTTACATAGTGTTCAAAGCTTTTGTATGATGTTACAAGACCACTTGAGAACAAAACTCAGTGGGAATACAAATGGGATGCTGGTGTGTTTCATGACCAAAAAGTTGGTCAAATTCACAAAATATGTTAGTGTCGAATTGAATAAGAGATACTAACTGATTTTGATATCATCTCTGGCAAAGACAAAGGTGATATCGATCACGTTTTCTTCCATAATGAGTGTTGTAGGAAATAGAAACACATCTACTATAAGAGCCATGTACAGAAAGATGTCCATGGAATTCTTGCTGCTGTAGATGAAACGCACATAATAAAGCAAAATAAATGAAAACTCAATTCAACCCGAATGAAAATGATAATCCAGTAACAACGGGAATAAGGGTAATATACATAAGTTGAGCCTTTTTATTCAATGTCATTAAGTAAACAAAACTGATGTGAAAACCAGCTTCGTAACCCCAACAGTATGGTTGAAACTAACCGCCAGAAACCTAAAAGAAATATTTCTAATCATTACTGACATACAAAAGACCAAATTCAAAGCCGAGAACTTGAGGAAATGAACCCTGGATCGAATGGTCTGTATGGGGACCATCTTTATCCATGCAAGTGTGATATAGGTTAACAAAGAACACGCTGTCATGTGACACATGGTTAAGAAGATTGGGTATTTAAAACCAT